CACAGGCTTGGGTATCGCCTGAGTGACTGTTTCTTGCACATGCAGACCATGCCCTGTGTGACACGTTCTGTAGTCACTGTGGAGCATCAGCACCACGTCACATACCCACACGTCACATACCCACACGTCACATACCCACACGTCACATACCCACACGTCACATATTCAGGCGATATCCACACGTCACATATCCACATTCAAGGCTATGTGAGCGTCAGATTTGTGCTCAATAGATAAGGGGCGCAGAGGGGCAGCAGCCAGACAGCTGTGAGGTGCTTTAACATTGTAGCATCTCAAGACCTTTTTGACTGTGCCTTCGGTCAACTTCCCTCCGCCAACTCCTTGCTGTCCACCCCTCACTGATCCTAACCCCCAACTCGGGTGCCAACCCCTCATTGTCCAGCGCCTTGGGCCGTCCTCCCGACGTGAAAGGTGCTGTATATATGCAACGTGTTGTTGATGCCCGTCAGCACTGAGTATCACAGCACTGAAACCAAACCCAGCCCCCATCACGCTCCAACTCATAGCCCTCCTGCATTCACATCCAGCACTGCCCTGGGGGGTTGATGTGATGTGATATGATGCGGTGTAGTTGGGAGCACGTGTGTGTGTGTGTGTGTGGAGTGAGGGGGCGGTGGGGTGGGGGGAAGAGGAGAATTCTCATTAAAACGATCACAGGCTCTAATCAGCGGCGATAAACCTAATAAGATTAATGTCAGGAGTGAGCCCCTGAGGTGCAGCTTTACATTGAGGATGTGGGTCACGGCCGCTGGCTGTGGGATATTGCCTTCATTCAATCACTTTACATGGCCCCTCGGTGTGGCCGGTCCTCTCTCTCTCTCTCTCTCTCTCTCTCCTGACGCTGATTGCTCGCGATGTGTTTTTGTCTCGCCGCAGAGTCGCCATGGCAACCGCATCCTCTCAAGTCCTGATCCCAGACATCAACCTGAACGAAGCCTTCGAAAACTTTGCCTTAGATTTCTCCCGAGAGAAGAGACTGCTGGAGGGCCTGGACTACCTGACAGGTACCGACACGCACCGCCCGGCACTGCCTGTGTGTACACACGTCATGTACCTTATACACCACCCGACACTGCCTGTGTGTACTACACACGTTATTTATACACCGCCCGGCACTGCCTGTGCGTACACACGTCATGTATCTTATACACCGCCCGGCACTGCCTGTGCGTACACACGTCATGTACAGTATATATAACACCTGCCGCGTGTCACATACCCACATGCCCGTGTCACACACATTGCTCATGTGACCTGCGGAAACCATCTGGTTACAGTGATGTTGCGTGAGGCTTGACATTGGGCTGCCTATTGACACTGTCCTCCCCCACTTCCCGTTCCCAGCCCCGAACCCTCCAAGTATCCGGGAGGAGCTATGCACAGCTTCCCATGACACGGTCACGGTGCACTGGACCTCAGAGGATGAGTTCAGTGTGGGCTCGTACGAGTTACAGTACACCATCTTCACCGGGCAAGCCAACTTCATCAGTAAGTCACCTTACAGTGTGTGTGTGTGTGTGTGTATGAGAGAGAGAGGGGGTAGTGTGTCTGAGAGAGGGAAAAAGTGTGTTTGTGTGAGAGGGAGAGTGTGAATGAGAGTGTGTGTGAGGGGAAAAGAGTGTGTATGTATGAGAGGGAGAATGTGTGTGTGAGAGTGAGGGTGCATGTGTGTATGTATGATAGGGAGTGTGTGTGAGAGGGAGAGTTTGTGTTTATGAGATGGAGTGTGTATGGTGGGGGGTGGGGGGAAGAGGGAGAGCGTGTACGTGTACAAGTGGAGGCGCTATTCATCCTGCCAATGAAGCATTAAACCAAGATCCCATCTGACGTTAAACCGAGGTCCCATCTGCCTGTCCAGGTGGAGGTTAAAGATCCCATGACACTGCTTGAAAAGAGAAGGGAGTTTCTCCCTCCCGGTGTCCTGGCCAACAGTTGCCCAAATAAAACCAGTCGCCTACTATATGGCTGTTTGTGGGACATTGCTGTGTGTAAATTGCTGCCGTATTCACCTACAAATGCAGTCAGTATACTTTATAGTACGTGATGCAATTCAAGTCCCGACGTGGGGTTTGAACCCACACTTTTCAACTCAAGAGGCAGTGGTGTTACCAACTGAGCCACTGACAATACAGCGTTCCTCCAATGAATTAGCAATCCAGAGTGTGAGACATAGACCAGACATAGACGTGAGAGATGGTTGCTGGACCTTCTTCATCAAAACCTCTTTTACAATCTTCCACTGAACTCAAATGTAGATTTGAATTTCAATTACCAATTATTATAATTGGGTAAATTAAAGGAATGATTAGATAATTAATTGAATATCAGTAAAGGTTGGCAGAATACTAAATAAATTAGCATTTCACAAAACGCTCAGTACAGCATTAACTGAATGAGTCAAAATTTAGGAAAATGATCAATATTGATCAGGTTAATCACCACTGACTCAGCTCCTCATCTCTGGCTGACTCACGGAATTGTTGGAATTACCAGTGACCCATTATAACCCTCTGTCCAATTATACAGATCTAGAACACTGGGGGTCATTGTAAAGGGGGGATATTGTCCTGAAATAAGCTTTGTGTGGGGGCAGGAGCGCTGCCCTTGTTGGAGGCACCATCCTTCAGATGAGATGTTGAACTGAGGTCCCGTTTGCCTGTTCAGGTGGACGTTAAATATCCCATAACATTATTCCAAACCAGAAAGGAGTTTCTCCTGGAATCCTCCCAACAATCCCCCAGATAAAATTGGTCACTCAGTTCATGGCTGATTTAGGACCTTGCTGGGTGCAAATTGGCTGCCATACTGGTCTACAAATACAGTCACTCCACTTTTTAGTATGTCCTATGAAGTACATTGAGACATTTTGGTGTTAGATGGCATATCAAATGTAGGTATTGTCTTAATAAGACAGTGAAGTGGGAGCGCCAACACTGCCCAATGTCACCGTCCATCCAAGCCTACTCTCTCAACGTCTCGATCTCATCGCCAAACAACCCTCAATCCTTTCACTTCCAGGAACTTGTCTGGCTCCTTTCCAAACCTCGTTAACGCTGTGACTAGTGTTTCCATCACCTGCTGTGCTGGTTTGCTCCACTCTCCCATCTCCCTTTTACTGAAAAACAATTGCCACTTGCATTTCCTATTCGCATTTGTTGTCCTTCTTTAATGAATCATTTTCAAGATGCTCACACTCAGGTACAGATCACTTCATGCCCTGGTACCCCCCTGCCTTTCCGACCTGTTCATACCCCACACCTCTTCCCATCCATTTCACTCGGCTGGTTGCAGCCTCCTGCTTGTCCCCCAAACCCTCCCCTCCACCATTGATGGCCGTGCTTTATCCCCGAAATTATGGAACTCTCTCCTTCAGTCCTTGCCTCTTCCTTGCTTGTCTGCAGATCACACCTGAAGACCTTCCCCTTTGACCGTATCAACAGTCATCTGCCTGCCCCCTTCCCCCGGCTCGGCCACTGTTAATCACTGTGAAACACTGCCCCGCTGAAGGGCGCTGGGTAAATGCATATCCCATAACATTGTTGTTGCTTGTGTCAAGTTGTTTTCACATCGGGACATGATGGTGTAGACTGAACTCCAGGGCAGCTCTGCCTTGTGCTCCCTGTGTGATGATTAAAGCTACAGAGAAAAAACGTTAGCTACACACGGAGAAGCTCACTCCATTCCTAGGCACCACTGAGTCAATGTTACAGACTCAATCTCAGGATTCTGCTCAGAGTGTTTATCTCCAGCGCAGGACTGCTGAATGTTTCACTGTCAGAGGTGCCATCCTTCAGATGAGACCGAGCTTCCCATCTGCCTGTTAAGTGGACTGACGGTAAAGATCCCACTGTGCTATTTAGAAAAAGAAGGGAGGTTCTCGTGGTGTCCTGGCCAATCCCCCAGATACATGTTCCGTGTGTGTATATATATATGATTCAGTGTAAGGTAGCTACATTTGCAGACGATACCAAGTTGAATTGAAAAAGAACTCGATGGGGTGTGTACATGGTCTGATAACTAGCAAGAGACGTCTTAATGTGTATAGGATGCAAGAGTAGGAAATACAAGTAATCCATGGCTGGGACAGAACTTGCCAAGGGGGAGGCTGAGAGAGATCTAGGGGCATTAGTTGCCTCGTCGCTCACTGTGTGTCACACTGTGAGGCAGCAATAAACAAGGCAAACAGGATTATATTGCTAAATCAGTTTTGAGATCCCCAGACATCATTCTCTGTCTGTGCAGCGCTCTGGCTGGGCTCCTTCAGTACTGCATACATCTCACAGCAACATAAGCAGTGACAACAAATAACAAAAATTACATTTGTACAATGCTTTTCATGTCAGGAGGACGTCCCAAAGGCACTGGACAATCAATGTTTCGGACCCAAGCTGGGGGTCGGGATCGGGGAGGAGGGGAAAGAGGGTGACTGAAGAGAAGGGTCTTGAGATGGGTCTTGAAGGAGGCAAGGGAGGGGGTGAGGCAGAGGGACTGTGGGATGGAGATCCAGAGGGTGGGGGCAGAGTGGCTGAAGACCCGTCCGCCAATGGTGGGGCGGGCGAGGTGGGGGATGTGAAGCAGGCCCTAAGTAGAGGGAGCGAGCAGGATGGTAGGGGGTTAGGAGGTCGCAGAAGTAGGGGGGAGCAAGACCATGGAGGCTTTGAAGGTGAGGACCAGGATCTTGAACTATATCCTCTGTGTGATGGGAAGCCGGTGGAGTTAGGTGAGGATGGGTGTGATATGATTCCGGAGCCTAGTGCGGGAGAGGACACAGGCTGCAGGGTTCTGGATTATCTGCAGCCTATGGAGAGAGGAATTGGGGAGGCCGACAAGCAAGGAGTTTGCGTAGTTGAGCATGGACGTTATGAATGCGTGTATGAGGGGTTCGGCAGCTTGCTTGCGGTGTGAGACTGGTAGAGCTGGACCATGTTGTGGAGGTGGGGAAAGGCGGAGCAGGTCATGGCGCAGATGTGGGTATAAAGGACATTTGAGGGTCAAACAGGAGGTTCCATATTGGTCTGCGAGATGTAGAGTGCATCCATGATAAGCTAGGGCTCTTCATTCTTCAGAGAAGATGATTCATTGGGGAACTTAGAGGTGTACAACATTTTAAATGGGATTGAAAATGTAAACCCGGATCGATTTTTTAGGATGCACCAAGACAGTAGAACAAGAGGACACGGGTTTAGAGTTGCACTGGGCAATTTTAGGACAGATACAAGGAAGTATTGTTTTATCCAGAGGGTAATTAACCCGATTGGAGCCGTTTACTAGGAAGAGTGTGTGGAGCCAGGTCCCTGGGACTCACTATAGAAAAGATGGTGCTCTGATGGAAGACATTAGTGCGGGAGAGATCACTCGGGTGTGAATGCATATGTTTGCATATGGGTGAGTGATTGTTGTTTGTGTGTGTAAGTGTGTGGGGGTGTCTTTCTGTGGGTGTGGTTGTTGTGCATGTGAATGTGTGTATATGGGGGGTGTTTGTGTGTAAGTGTGTGTGGGTGTCATGTGTGACTTTGTATGTATGTGGGGTGGGGGGTGATTGTGTCTGTAATTGTATGTCTTATGTACGTGGGTGTCTGTGTATGTGAGTGCATGTGGGTGGGGGGTTGTGTTTGTGTGTGTGTGTTTGTAAAGATTTTCAGTGTAAAGGTTTTCAGTGTAAAGACAGATCAGATCGTTCAACCCTGTTCCTGAAACATTAATGCTGTGTGTGCTCCTCCAGTATAACGGTTTATAGTGGGCAATGATGCTTGTGGGGCTGTGGCCAGCCAGAGCATGTTGTAATCAGGTTATAATGAACTGTAAGAGCCAGCGAGCTAATAACAGCAGGCAGAGCGCACGTCAAAGACAGGATTGAAATTGTTAGCGGTGCAATTTTACTCCTTTGTTTCAATGAATATTGTATATCTCAGAGTCACTAGTAAATGATTAATGTTGACAGAAGAGAAGGGGTGATGCTGAGGGCTGGATCCTTACTGTGTTCACCGTCCACTGCCTGCGTCCTGCCAAGCCGGATCCTCAGATCAGCTAATTCCCCCAAACATTTCAAGCTTCCTCAAGCACCCACTCTTCACTCTTCGAGGGCAGAGAGGGAAGGGGAGATGCTCTGTCTATGTGTTGGGAATCCAGCGCCTCTCTTCCTGGAGCCACACTGGCTCAGATGGTGTGTCACTCAATACTTTGCCGTCCCATTCAGTCACCCTCCAGCCAGCAGCCTCCAGCTAGTAAATCATCCAATGTTTGGCGATGAGTCAATATACAGCAACAAGGGAGCCAGCAAAGGAGTGGGGCAGAAGATCAGGGAGATAGAGTGCAGCTAAAGGGAGTTATATATAGGTGAGGGCGAGAGTCTTGAAGCTGATTCATTGGGAGATAGGGAGGCAATGGAGTCTGGTGATGAATTGAATGATTGGGAGTGCAGAGGTTAGTGCGGGTAAGGATGTGGTGACAAAGTTTGGGATTGTGGATGTGGATGGAGGAGATAGGGAGACCAGCAGGGAGCGTGGTAGGAAATTTGACATTCAAAAATTCAAGGGTTTCGGCAGCACTTGTTGAGAGATGGCGGGGAGGGGAGGGGGGGTGGGAAATGTGGCTGAGGTGAAGACACACAGACGTAGTCACCGAGTGTGAGAGCTGTCGGGAGGAGAGAGCTCGACAATGTGAGGGAGCTGGAAAAACATCAGTAGAGATACAGTGAGCATTGAAAAGCTCCTCACACTAACCTCAATTGTTGGTGTTGGAACTTAGCTCAAACTTATAACAATATTGGAAGAGAGCAGGGAATTTCTGCCTGTGTCCTATTCTCCCAATAATAATAATAATAATCCTTGCATTTTATATAGCGCCTTATCATGTCTTCGAGACGTCTCAAAGCGCTTCACAGAATATACTGTGAAGTGAATTGACTGTATATTTCATGGGCAAAACGCGGCAGCCAATTGTGCACAGTAGCGTCCCACAAACAGTCGCGGATTGAGCGACCAGTTTTATAATAATAATAATAATAATCCTTATACTTGATATAGTGCCTTTCGGAGGATATCTCAAAGCCCTTAATGGGATATAATGAAAAGTGGAATGACTGTGTATTTCTAGGCCATTTGTACACAGCAGTGTCCCACAATGGCCATAAAGCGAGCGACCAATTTTAAAATAATAATAATCCTTGTATTTGATATAGTGTCTTATCACATCGTTCAGACGTCTCAAAGCGCTTCATCTGGGGGAATGTTGATCAGGACATAGGGAGAAATTCCCTTCATTTTTCAAGTAGGGCCATGGATCTTTAACGTCCAGCTGAACAGGCACAGACAGGATCTCGGTTTTAACGTCTCATCTGAAGGACGGCACCTCTGACAATGAGGCGCACCCACAGCACTGTACTGGAGCGTCAGCTGAGACTGTGAGCTCAAAGTTCCAACATTGGGCTGGAACTCATAACCTTCTGACTGAGAGGCGAGAGCTCTATCAACTGATCCAGGCTGACAGAACAAAATAAATTGCTTATTCACCTCCTGGTTGTTCGTGGGACATTGCTGCTGAATTTGCCGACAGATCCACAGTGCCTCCACTCCCCAGTAATTACCGTGAAGCACTTTGAGATATTTTGACATGTTGAGTTTGTATAAAATGCAGTTTCCTAGGCAGCGAGTATCATTATTCAGCTCAACTGCTCTCACCAGAGATATAATTCTGAGAAACACACAGAAAAAGACGAGAATATTATTAATAATAATGATCTTTTAGTTGATAAAGTGCCTTTCGTGTCAAAGCATCTCAAAGCATTTCACAGGGAATTTCCCTAAAGTGTAGACACCGTGTATTTTTGTAGGCAAACACGGCTGCTATTTTCCCACAGCCAAGAACTGAATGACCAATTTTGGAGAGTTGTTGGCCAGGATACTGGGAGAAAGAAACTCAATTTTCTCTTCAAATAGTGTCACTGGATTTATTAAAGTCCACCTGAACAGTTAGACGGGACCTTGGTTCAACATCTCATCCAAAGAACATCAGCTCTGACAATATAATAATAAAAATAATAATCCTTGTATTCAATGTAGCGCCTTATCATGTCGTTCAGGCGTCTCAAAGCGCCTTCAGAATATACTTTAAAGTAAATTGACTGTATATTTTGTGGGTGAAATGTGGCAGCCAATTGCGCATAGCAGTGTTCCACAAACAGTTCCACAAACAGTCGTGGATTGAAGTGACCAATTTATTATTATTATATTTTTGGAGGAATTGTAACCCCCGGAAAAGCGATCCACCAATCGGCTAATAACCGGGTTCCTACTTACTGGTGGTAAACAGAGGAGTATGGAGTAAGGAAACTTGCCCGAGGTTTCGCTCCTGCTGGGAATCAAACCCAGGAACTCTCGCTCGCGAGGCGAGTGCTCCAACCACTGAGCTCTTGTGGAGCTCTCCCAGCACTGTGTAAATCAGTATGCAATGGGAGCTCACAGTACTGATGTGAGGCTTGACGCTGATTTCACCAGACACAGGGTGTTGTGTAATGTGACCTGATGTTCTTTTGTTGAAGGAGATATTTACGGCCTCTTAAAAATAAATAACAAAGCTGGCTTACGGAATCCATAATTTACAATTACAGCTATTGATAGCATGACTTGGTGAGGCTGCTGTGTATGTCAGCCTGTCCCCACAGAGCCAGCTCCATCCTCAGCCTCGCTCGTGGTGCTGACTGACCTCAGCCGCCACCACCTGTAACCTCTGGTGTCCCAGCATCGAGAGGCTCACAAAGCTGTAGCTGTCAGCACAACCCAAACCTCACCTCAAACCCAGAGATTTCTATACCGGCTCAGGCGATAGAACACCAGGAGCTCAGGCTCCTCACCTTAAAAAGAGACGAGAACTGCAACGAGAACAAATTGCATTTATTCAGTGACTTTCACGTCAGGAGAATGTGTTAAGGTGCTGGACAATGAAGGGTTTGCACCTGAGCTGGGGGTTGGGATCAGAGAGGGATAGAAGGTGGTGGAGGTGTGAAGATGACTGAAGGCACAGCCAAGGAGGAAGGCATTGAGACATGCTTTGAAAGAGCCAAGGGAGGGGTCAAGGTGGAGGGGCTCCAGGAAAGAGTTCAAGAGGTTGGGGGCAGAAAGGCTGAAGGCCTGAACGTCGATGGCGGGGCAGGCCAGGCGGGGGACATGGAGCAGGCTGATCGGAGGGAGTGGACAGGTTGGTAAACTGTGAGTAGATCACAGAAGTGGGGAGGAGCAAGACTGTGGAGGGCTTTAAAGATGAGGGCAAGGATTTTGAACTGGATCCTCTGGGAGATGGGGAACCATTGAAGCCGGGTGAGGGTGGGGGTGATAGGTTCCCGGAGCTCAGTGTGGGAGAGGACACGAGCTGCGGAGTTCAGAATGACTGAACTGCACTAACTGAACAACTGACTCCCATCCCTTCCTGTCCCAGGTCTGTACAACTCGGTTGATAGTTGGATGATCGTACCTAACATCAAGCAGAACCACTACACAGTACACGGCCTTCAGACAGGGACCAGATACATCTTTATCGTCAAGGCCATCAACCAGGCCGGGAGCCGCAACAGTGAGCCGGCCAGACTGAAGACTAACAGTGAGTACCAAGGATCCATCCCTGTGGTAACATCTCACCTGAGACCACTGACCCATGTTCAAGGGAATTAGAATCATAGTATCCTGGTAATTCCTCTCCGTTACAGTGAGTACCTTCCCCTATCCGGCCCCCAGCACATCTCCCCTGCCCAGCCACACGTCACTCAGAGCTGACACAGGCACTCAGCAAGCAGTCTTCCCCTCTCCCCCCCCTCCCCCTCACGCTAGCAATGGACAATGATCTTATCGTACAATAATCCTTGTATTTAACACAGCGCCTTATCACATCTTCGAGACGTCTCAAAGTGCTTCACAGAATATATTGTAAAGTGAATTGACTGCGTATTTTGTGGGCGAAACGCAGCAACCAATTGCGCACAGCAGCGTCCCACAAACAGTTGTGAATTGAGTAATCAAATTTTGGGATTTTTTTGGAGGGATTATTACTCCCGGAAAGTGATCCCAATCGTCTAACAACCGGGTTCCTATTTACCGCTAAGCAAACAGAGGCGCGTGAAGTAAGTAAACTTGCCCAATATTTCTCCCCACCCGGGAATCAAACCTGGTTCCTCTCAAATAATAAGAACTTGGTCACTTCAATCCACGACTGTTTGTGGGACACTGCTGTGCGCAATTGGCTACCGCGTTTTGCCCACAAAATATACAGTCAATTCACTTTACAGTATATCCTGTGAAGTGCTTTGAGACGTCTCGAAGTCATGATAAGGCGCTATATCAAATACAAGGATTAATATTATTATTTATATTATTAAAGTAGATTGATTTGTAGACGAAACATGACAGCCAATTGCACAAAGCAGTGTCCCACAAACCATCATGGATTGAGTAACCAATTTTTCTGAAGGGATTGTTACCCCCAGAAAAGCGATGCACCAATCGACTAATAACCAGGCTCCTGCTTACTGGTAGATTAAGGAAACTTGCCTAACTAACCACAGAATTCAAACCCGGGTCCTCTCACTTGTGAGCCAAATGTGCTATCCACTACAGTAGGATAGGGTGAGGTGAGGGGAGAAGATTGAGGTGAGGGGATTTATTTTGTAGCCTATTAAAGCCTATTAAACTTTCGGCTCTTCAGCGAGATGCTTGGATTAGGAATTCAATCCCATGGTAATAACTGGGGAGTGAGTCAGCCACTGGCATCTCGGACATCTTCATCTTCCTGTTTAACACTGTCTGCATGTGCGTCTGTCTGTCTGCCACTGGGATTCAAAACAACAGCTCAAACTCTGAGAGGCTGAACCATCCTGCCAGATACATCTCCCAGAGAACACAGGCCGACCAGAGCTGGGGAGCCTGAGGGACTTAATGTGAACCTTGCCCTCAAATAACCTGTTTTATGCAGAGTCTCAGGCTCAAAAATGTTCCAAGGATGAAGTTAACACAGCGAGCTTCAAGCCTCACAAGATATTGTCCCAGAGGAGACCACAGATATGGGGTTGAGAAAGTAAACGCAGAACAGTGCTTTCAGATAAACCAAGTCATCTGAACAAGGGAAAACTGGTTCATCTTTGCAATGGGAAATCATAGGACGACACCAAGAAGCTCAGAGTTTCCCAGAGGATAATTAATGACTGGAACAGGATTAGCACAAAGGGTGGTTAAGGACAGAATGCTGCATTTATTTAAGGAACAGCTTGATGCTGTGAGGACCGAAGGACCTTCTTCATGCAAAGCTCTTTCATGATTGTGGTTGACAGCTGTCTGATACCCACCAGCCCGCTGCTGGCATCTCCACAGGCTTGTTCACTGAGAATCCTTTAGAAATCCACCACTACCTCATTTCTTGGTACAATTGTTTTCTTCATCACTGTCTTTGTGGAGAACAAGGCACAAGGCTGGTGTCTTCTGTCCAGAAATAACAACAAAATTACATTTATATAGTGTCTTTCACGTCAGGTGGATGTCCCAAATAAGGGAGTATTCTTCATTCAGAGCAAGAGACCAACAGAGAGAGTGATGTAGAGAAAGACAAAGAGAAGCAAGAGAGTGAGGCAGGGAGAGAGAGAGTCACTGAGAGAGTGAGGGGCAATAGTGAGAGACGAGATAGAGAAGAGTGAGTGAGAGAGGCAAACTGAGAGAGAGAGACAGACACACAGAGATAATAAATAGTAATAACATTTGCATTCGATTTAGCACCTTATCACGTCAGAAATGTCTCAAAGCACTTCGCAGGATTCATTGTAAAGTGTAGTGACTGTGTACAGGCATGGGAATAGTAAGCTCGATAACAACACCATCACCACCTTGCATTTATATGACACCCTCCACATGGAATAGCATCCTGGAGTGATACAGAAAGGGTCACTCTGGAGATCAATTGTCAGATTTACTCTATAACAACAAGTTGATCCAATTCACATAGAACAACATCTTAGAGTGCTTCACAGGGATGGAGATCGATCCCAAGTGAGAGAGAAGGTGCAGGCGACTATAGGTATGATCAGTAGATTTTCAGTTTGGATTAGAGGCAGGTAGATGGGATTAGATGGATGGGTAGAAGGTGGCGAGACGGGTGGGAGGGGGAGTTGAAGAGGCCCTCAGTGGAGCCGAGGTAGTGGTGATATGATTGCGTTCTTTACGATTTTGAAAGGAATAGATAATGTAGACAAATCTACGGAAACATTCCTGCAGCAAGCGAGTAGCAAATGTATGAATCAGGCTCCCTAGGCAGACAGTGGAAGCAGAAAATCTCAATTCTTTCAAGAACAAATGAGATAGATTTCTGATGGGAAATAATATCTCGGGATACAATGGGACATTACATGTCAAGCGACTGCCAGGATAGTGGAAGGCGAACTGAATGGACCTTGGCCTTCTTTCGTCAGCAAATTCTTATGTTCTTATGAGACTGGTCTGGGAGGGTCCTGACATGTCTCACTGTGTGTGGTTGACTTGACAGCCTCAGTTAAAGCTACATTTCCATCTCGTTTTGCTGATCGGAGCCAAACTTCACTTCAAAACTGTAGCACATCACGTGGGAGAGCCATCCCATGGTGTGACAGAGCAACACTCACTCTCCAGCTGATTCCCATCCATCGCTTCTGTTGTAATTGTATTAATTATCGCTCTCGTTATCTAATTTAATTTCTTTCAATGGATCAAACCACACTTCAAAAGCAGAGGTACTCAGCCTTCAGGGAAATTAACTGAAATCTGGTGATTCACAAAGGCAGAGCGTGAAATATTTGCTGTAGATTTATTTGGCGCAGACACACCCCTCGGTTTCCTGGCTCCTTCCCCAAGGAGAGAGGCCGAGATCAGACAGAAATAAAGAAAGGAAAGGAATCAATTCATCTCAGTGGAGCTGTTGCTAACAACCACTCTTGTTTCCATCTTACATTAACACAGGCTGCAACCAGCACCCTCCTTCTCCAGCACATCAACTGCAAAACTGCCAGTGATATTGATCTCCGCCTACACTGACTGATGTTACCAGAGAAGCCTCTTAGAACTTTCTTCCTTTTATGGTTTGCTTTCAGCTCATGTCAGGCCTCCGAGTCTCAGTATGCCTGTGGCTGGCAGCACTCGGCTTGTTACATAGCACTGCCTTTCAGGGCTTATAATGATAATAATCCTTGCATTTGATATAGCGCTTTATCCCATCATTGAGACGTCTCAAAGTGCATCACAGGATACCATGTAAAGTGAAGCGGCCCTGTATTTATTTGTAGGCAAAATGTGGCAGTCAGTTGTGCACAAAAATGTCCCCAAAACAGGCATGAAGTGAGTGACCAGTTTTATTTGGGGGATTGTTGGCCAGGACAGCGGGAGAGAGAAACTCTCTTCTCTTTTCAAATAACGTTGCGGTTAACATTCGCCTGAACAGGCAGACGGGACCTCGTTTAATATTTCATCCGAAGGACGGCACCTCCGATAATGCAAACCACCGCCCCACCCCTCGCCACCAGCACTGCACCGGAGCATCAGCTTAGACAATGTGATTCCAAGTCCCGACGTGGGGCTTTGAACCCATAACCTTCTGACTCAGAGGCGAGAGCGCTACCACTGCGCCAGGCTGACATACGACTGAACCTTACACTGAAATCATTGCACCTCACTCTAGTCCCACTTCACTCATTAACTATCTTAGCCTTTCCTATTCTTCACCTTCCCTTCTCATCGTCATCATCTTTAATCCCAATCTGTAGCTTCACTCCCAGTTGATCTGACCTCAGTCAGTGGGATTGAATTCCACACCGTGACACTAACAGTCCTTGTCTGTAACACACCGCCTGCAACGCTGCCACAACGTCTCAAAGCACTTCACAGAGAATTGTTGTCAAACAGCAAACTTTTGGTCATTCTCACCTGCTCTACCGCCAGTCCTGATGGAAAGCTGCGGAGTGGACACTCTGAACTAAAACAATAATTAATAACTTTCTTTGCCTATGTCTGGAGTCCTGTAGTGTATTGGTTAGAGCACTTGCCTCGCAAGCGAGAAGACCCGGGTTTGATTCCCAGCAGGGAGAAACCTAAGGCAAGTTTCCGCACACGCCTCTGTTTACCTAGCAGCAAGTAGGAACCCGGTTGTTAGTCAATTGGCTTCCGCGACACCCACAAAATATAGTTAATTCACCTTGCAGTATATTCTGTGAAGCGCTTTGAGACATCTCAAAGACGTGATAAGGCGCCAAATCAAATGCAAGGAATATTATTACAGTATTATTATGATACTGCGCTTATAATATTGAAACGTCTCAAAGCGGTTCTGAGTATCCTGTAAAGTGTAGTGACTATGTAGGTGAATGCAGCAGTCAATTTGCACACATTGTTTCTGAACTCCCACAACAGCCATGAGGTGAGTGAGTTACACAGCACAGAAACAGGCCAATTGGCCCAACTAATGCTTACTAGTCTTTATATTTCACTAGACTCAGATCCTGCTCACCCCCTCCCCCCCAGCCCTCTGTTCCTTCCCCCCCCCCCAGCCCTCTGTTCCTTTCCCTGCATGATTCTTCCTCTTAAATGTGTTGATGCTTTTTGCTTGGACCCTAACTTCCTGTGTAAAGATTGTGCTTTTTCAGCTCCTTGGGACATCCTCCCGACCTGAAAGATGATATAGAAATGTAAATTCACCCACAAAATACACAGTCACAAAATTGCACTTTTTATCCCAAAAAAAGCCAGGCTCCACTGCACAGATCCACTTCAAGATCCTCGCACTCGTGTTCAAATCCCTTCACTCTCTGGGGCCTCCCTGCTTCTCCGACCTCCTCACTACCCAATCCACCACCCGGCACCTCTGCTCGACTGGCACCGGCTCATGCTCATCCTGCGCATCCTTCAGTCCACGATTGGAGGTCGCGCTTTCAGCCACTGAAAGTGTGGAACACTCTCCCTCAATCCCTCCGCCTTGCCCCCTCCCTTTATCAAGCCCCCATCCCTGGCTCGGAGTCAGGCTCTGCCACTGTTAAGCGCTCTGAGACGCTGCCCTGTGTGGAGGGCGTTATTAAATGCAAATCGTTGTTGTTATATCGTGTGAAGCAACTTGAAATGTCTCAACCTCATGAGAAGACCAAATGCAAGAATTATTATTATTACTAAATTTGTTGGTGTTATTGTTTTAGATCCGTGAATTTTAACTTGTGTTTCTCTCTCTCCCCCATCCCTCCTTCCCGTGCTCGCTTTCTCTCTCGCTTTCTCTCTCTCTCTCTCTCTCTCTCCCCCCTCTCTTTCTCTCACACTCAACTGCTCTGTCTCTCTCTCTCTTTGTGATACCCAGGTCAGCCGTTTAAGATAGACCCCAGGACGGCCCACAAGAAGCTGAAGTTGTCTAACGATGGGCTGGCGATGGAGCGCGAGGAGAACTCTCTGAAGAAGAGCCACACGCCTGAGCGGTTCAGCAGCCAGGGCAGCTACGGGGCGATGGGCAATGTCTACATCGACAGCGGCTGTCACTACTGGGAGGTCCTGCTGGGCAGCTGTACTTGGTTAGTGAGGAGCCCGGCACATGCACAAGGCACTTAGCAACATAGGACCATACGGGGGAGGCCATTCAACCCCTCAAGCCTGTTCATCCATTCTATTAGATCATGGCTGATCTGTACCTCAACTCCCTTTGCTATACTTTGCTCCATATCCCTCGATACCCTGACCTAACAAGCATCTATCCACCTCAGTCTTGACAATGTGAATGGATCCAGTATCCACAGCCCTTTGGGGGAGAGAGTTCCAGACTGCCTTTTGACTTCACTCCTAAATGACCTTGTGCTAATTTTAAGATGCCCTCCTTGTTCTGGATTCCCCCATCAGAAGAAATAGTTTCACCTGCTACCCTACCGAATCCTTTTATTATTTAAAAAAAACGTTAGTTAGAATACCCCCCAACCGTCTAAACTCAATTACAATTTAATTCTGGATCTCTCTTCCCCCAAAAGACTGTGGTTTATGGCTGGACCCATTCATGTTTTGAAGACTGAGGTGGATAGCTGTTTGTTAGGTCAGAGTGTGAGGGATATTGAGCAAAGGTAATTGGAGTTGAGGTACAGATCAGCATTCTGATGGTAGAGCAGACTCAAGGGGCTGAATGACCTCCTCTTGTTCCTATGTTCCTAAACTGCAATCTTTGCATTTGATAAAGCACCTAGAAGCCCCAAAGCTCTTTACAGACTGTGTATTCATAGTATCATCTCATGGAAAGCCTTGACCAGTGGAGTCCTATAGCTCAGTGGTTAGAGCACTCCCTTGCAAGTGAGAGACCTGGGTTCGATTCTTCCGGCAGGGCGAAATGTTGGGCAAGTTTCCTTACTCCACACACCTAATAATAATCCATCAAGAAAAAACAAAAAACAATAAAATGGGCACTTCAATCCACAACTGTTTGTGGCACGCTGCTGTGTGCAATTGGCTGCCGCGTTTTGCCCACAAATACACAGTCAATTCACTTTACAATGTATTCTGTGAGCGCTTTGAGACGTCGAGTAGACGTGAAAAGCGCTATATCAAATGCAAGGATTATTATTATTAATATTATTAATATTATTGACCAATTCTATGTGGGGGTTGTTGGGTGGAATATCAGAAGAATCATAGAATGTTACAGCAAAAAAGGAGGCCATTCGGCCCATCGTGTCTGCACCAGCTCTTTGGGAGAGCTACAGTCCCACTCCCCCGCTCTATCCTCTTATCCACTCTTTTTCCTTTCAAGTACCTGTCTTAATTCCCTTTTGAAAGTTATTATGGACTCTGCCCCCATCAGCCTCTCAGGCCATGTATTCCAGACAGTAATATCTCTTTGTGTGAAAACATTTCTCCTCGTCTCTCCTCTGGTTCTTTTGCCAATTATCTTAAATCTGGGTCCCCCGGTGATTGACTATTATTCTTTACTGTGACGTTCGCTATATTTATATTGATCAGATTGACTATTACTCTGCCTCTCTCCCCTCGTCCTCTGCAGGTACGCAGTGGGCGTGGCCTACAAGTCGGCCCCGAAGAACGAGTGGAATGGGAAGAACTCCTCGTCCTGGGTTTTTTCTCGCTGTAACAACAGCTTCAGCGTGCGGCACAACAGCAAGGAGCTGGGGGTGGAGGCCAGCCTGCAGCTGCGGAGGTTGGGGGTGCTGCTGGACTACGACACCAATTCCCTGGGTTTCTACGACGCCATGAATGCCCAGCACCTGCACACCTTCAACATCTCCTTCGTGCTGCCCGTCTCGCCCACCTTCACCATCTGGAACCGCTCCCTCATCATCCTCTCGGGGCTGCCAGTCCCCGACCCCCTGGACTGCACCGAACAGCAGGACTGCATCTGCCGGCCCCAGGGGGAGTCGCCCTACGTCTCGGGGCTAAAACTCAACCAGTAGCACCCGGACTGAAGCCGACCTGGATCTTTAGCAAATCTCTGCTTCCCCCCCACCCTCCCCCCCTGCACCCCCACCCTCAAACCATCCATTATCCCAGACAGGACGTGTTCTCCCCCGAACTGACACAAGGTCCTGCCTTACGCAGAGTGACTACTGTCGTGTTGAATTTATAAATTATTTATGATCGATATCTTCACAGAATTACCCTCGGAAATTTATTGTATTCTAAATGCACTTTGAAGACTCGCTTCTTGGTGATGGGAAGAGACTTCCCAACGGATGTTAGAGTCGGAGAGAGAACTCCACAGCGGATGTGAAGTGGTGGTTTGCCCGCGTTCCTAGTTGTCCGTTGGGCAGTGTTGGGGAGTCTGGAGCAGGAAGCAGGAGGGAACTTACTGAGAATGGAGCTCTCCTCTGAGAAATTAGGAAGAGATGGCATCTTAGTGAACAATGAGGAGCTTGTACGATGGACAAAGCACAGCAGATAGAAACGGGGAGTGCGGGTAGAGTGGGTGGTGCCTGGAGATGGAGCCCAATGCCACTGAGAATTCAAACCCAATGTACTCCCTAGATTCATTGTATTGTAGTCTTTGTAGGGATGGGCTGTGAACAGAGAGGGGCCCAACCAGGTCTGTACAGGAGCCACACTTGATATATGGAACTTTTAACTGGTGTATGTAATGTTAACACAAAATGGTATAAATATTTAATGACAAAGGTTGGGGGTTTTGTCACTTGTATTGTACGGACTTTTTTCCCTGCAATGATTTTTTTTGTCGGAATATCAATCGTAAAGGGGCGAAATTACGCCGTTTCTTGATAAGAACCTGGGAGGATCTTTCCTTCTTGTCTGGAATTGATGGTTTCCCCTCCCCTAAACCCTGGACCTGCATTCCCTCAGGCAATGCTAAACAAATAATTCCCTCTCCCCGCGAAAAAAAANCATTTGGTCACTCACTCCCAAGGCTGTTTGTGGGGCGCTGCTGTGCGGCTGTGTTTTGCCCACAAAGTACATAGTTAATCCACTTTTCTCCTGACATGAAAGGCGCTATACAAACATAATTGTGTTGCTTGTTGTTTACAGAATATCCTGTGTATTAAGACATCTCGATGATGTGATAAGGCTCTATACTAAATGCAATTATTCGCAGGATCACTGAAGAGGGTCAGATACTCTCCTGATGACAAGTTAATGGTTCAGGCCACAGATGATCAGCCTGACTCAGATAGCAGCTGTTTTCAGTGCAGTGTTGGGGGAACGCTGCATTCTTGCCGTCCTCCAGAACGGACGTTAAACCAAGGTCCCGTCTACTGATCAGGTGGGTTTTATAATAATAATAATAATAATAATAATAATAATAAGCCTTGCATTTGATATAGCGCCTCATCAGATCTTCTCAAGATGTCTCAAAGATTTTCTTTAAAAATCTCATGACACCGTCCAAAAAGAGAAGGGAATTTCTCTCTCCCGGTGTCTTGGCCAACAATCTCCCAGATAAGATTGGCCGTTCACTTCATAATTCACTGTTTGTGGGTGGTTGCTGTGTGCAAATTGGCTGCTGTATTCGCCTACAGATATACTGTCACTCCACAGTAAATCCTGTGAAGTACTTTGAGGCATCCTCCTGACACAAAAGGCATGATATCAAAAGCAAAGCTTATAATTATTGTTATTATGGCAGCAGTTATGGAGAGTGCCTGGGACAAGCTTTGTGTTTGACTTTCTCACTGGTAAAGTGGATTGCCGTTAATTGCCGTGCAGACCTGCAGTTAATTGAAGCACGTAAACCAATCATTAATCACTTTGCTTTCGAGGCCTCACCAGCCACTCCTGCACAATGGGTGTTTAATCTGTGGTTTCAGTCATTTGTTCCCTTCACATTTGCCGCCCAAACTCAAAAGCTTTTCAACAACAGTTGATTTGAATTTATTGATTGATTATTCATTGATTTATTTTTCTTAAAAGAGCCCTGAAATTGCGCACTCGCCAGCCCCGGCTGTGCCACAGTGTTACAAAGCTGTGATTCGTGTTCCCATTTAGGACGGTAATTAAGGCATTTACAGATGCTTTTCGTGCTGATAAGACGTGACAGAAATCTTACACTTCAGTCAGTGTCAGATTGCTTGTACAATCTGCTTCCTGCCTAATTGCAATTTAATCATAAATATTACAAACTGCTGCCTCTCTCGCTTGCTCGCTCACTTACACTCTCTCCCCTCATCCCCAAGGACGCACTCGGATGTTTTCGCATAGAAGTAGTGAGACACTGTCCCTCTGTCTGCACAATGACACTCTGCACTGCTCACCAGTGCTGGAGAGATGAGCTGTAACATACATTGTGGGTTTAAGCCCCAAGTTGAGCTCATAGCGCTGCACTGTTAGAAGTGCCATCGTTCAGATGAGTGTCTCTCTGTTGCTCTGTGTGTGTCAGCCTGGCTCAGTGGTAGTGCTCTCGCTTCTAAGTCAGAAGGTCTTGGGTTCAAGCCCCACGTCAGGACTTGGAACTCATGTAGTGTAGACTCTAGGCTGATACTGCAAATCCAGGGCTCGGGAGGTACCGTCCTTCAGATGAGACATTAAACCGAGGTCCCGTCTGCCTGTTCAGGTGTATGTTAAAGATCTCATGGCACTATTGGAAAAGAAAAGAGAGTTTCTCTCTCCCGGTGTCCTGGTCAACAATCCCCCAAATAAAATTGGTCGCTCATCCCATGGCTGTTCGTGGGACATTGTTGTGTGCAAATTGGTTGCCAGGTTTGCCTACAAAATACACAGTGACTACACTTCACAGTAATTCCTGTGAAGCACTTTGAGATGACCTCCAATGTGAAAGAGCTGTAAGAAATGTAAAAATGTAAGTATTACTGTGACATTGAAAAGCTGGCTAGGAGACATATTCCTGGTTCCAGTTGAAGGTTTCTTTATATTTTAAGAAAAAATTCATAATTCATCACAGTGCAGCAGGTGACTTGCTAATAATATGTCACCACAGGTTTTCATACGTTATTGCAATTTTGTACAGGCAATTAGATTAATTTCTTTCAAGTATTGTTGGCATATGTGCCTCTTCCCTTGACTGCTTCCATCTCTCTCTCTATCTCTTCACCTCCCTTTCTCACTTTCTCTAACTCTTTCCGTCTCTATTTTTCACTCATTGCTCTCTCTCTCTCCTTGTCTCTCTTTTTCTCTCTCTCTCTCTCTCCCTCCCCTCTCTCTCCTTTCTCTACATCTCTCTCTCTCCCTTCCCAGATTTGGTTCATTAATATTACTCTACTTTTGTTCTTGGATCTCCACATCAAGTCTTTCATATAAAACTCGAGAAACTCATGGGATTAGACCAAAGTGAAGCTTTTATCAAGATAAAAAGTAATTAATTGCCTGCCTGTAAGGATTTAACGTGACTTTAATGAATTGTGTTGTAATAATGGTTTCCATCAAGAAAAATGTCTTTCCTTTATGACACAATACTCGATCAGCATGAAAATTAAATGTCATCAGTGCAGTTCCTACATCTCTTCCTGTGCTCGCTCCCCCACTGGAGCTCTCTACTTTAATCCAATTCCCTGCTCTCTCTCTCTCCCCATCGTGTCTGTGCTGGTGCTTCGCTCCCCCACTGTATATTCAAGTGATTTGTGGTGAGAGTGCAACACTTTGCAACAAACCCACTGTATAGAAACCTCCCTGATCTTTAGGTGATCATCTTTAATTGATCCCCTGGTGACAGGTTATATTTGCTTTCAGAATGAAGTGTACAGTTTACTCCCATGGGTGGGTGGCAGTAGTGCCGAGACGATATTACTGTTGGAATTAGAAATAGAAATATTTTGAGAGACAAATCACCAACAACAGAGAAATAAACAAAAACTTGAAACCGTTGGAGCCGCTGATGGAGACGGAGGATGCTATAATGGTATAATGATGAGGACAGAGAGTGATAGTAGCCGACAAGGTCAGTTAATTTGAGACAAAGATAATGGTTAAAAATAGAATCTGCGGATATCATTCAAGCCCAAAATTCCATCGTCCTTTTTCAGTGATGCCATTTTATCTTCCAATCCATGTAGGATTGTTAAATTTCCCTTTAGAAGCTGCATCTTAATAGCAGAGGGAACCCGGAGTCTGAGTTCAGACTGAATTTGAGAATTCTGTACCACCTTAATTCGTACAATCATAGAATATTGCAGCACAGAAGGAGGCCATTTGGCCCACTGTGCCTGTGCTTTTTCTATGAAAGAGCTACCAACTAGTCCCGCTGCAATTTTTTTCCTTTTTGAGTACCTACCCAGTTCCCTATTGAAAGCTACTATCAAATCTGCCCCCACCAGCCATTCCAGACCGAAACAACTCTCTGGGTAAAAACATTTCTCCTCGTCTCCCCTCTGATTCTTTTGCCAATTATGTTAAATCTGTGTCCTCTGGATACCAACCCACCCGCCAGAGGAAACAGTTTTTCCCCATTTACTCTTATCAAATCCCCTTATAATTTTGAACACCTCTATTAAATCTCCCCTCAACCTTCACTCCTTCCCTCCTTCCCTGCTCTAAGGAGAACAGTCTTCTCTAAGGAGAAAAGTACAGCCACCGACGGTGGAACAGGGAGGGACAAGCAGGAGTCCGGAGCCAGTTGAGCAGAGGCAGCGGGTAGTGGGTTGGGGGGTAAGCAGGTCGGAGATACAGAGAGCTGCCAGGGCATGAAGGGATTTGAAACGGAGTGTGAGAATCTGTCAGGGCTCTGATGAGGAATGTGTTAATGTTTGAACGCGCTCACTCACAATGAGGGTATAATTAGAATGTCTCAGCGCCACAATTGTGTTTTGTAGCAAAGATCAGACATTCCCACCAAACATGTAGCACAGTACTGCGGCCTTTGTAATGGTATTTCCTGCTGGCTTCCGTCCATCCCATCAGCAGTCTCGATGGTGGTGAGAGAACTGGTTGCAATAACTCTTACATGATACAGCGCCTCATCACGTCATTGAGATGTCTCAAAGCGCTTCACAGAATATACCGTAAAGTGGATTGACTTACACGCAGAAATGTCCCACAAATAGCCATGGAGTGA